ATTAAAATTATCTTGTAACGTATTATTGCTGTGTAAAGATGTCTTAGATAGATTTTTTAATGCGCGAAGATGTCTTATAGAAGATCCCTGATGGCTTTGAGTGTATCCTTGATATCTCGAAGAGTATTCTTGGTGTTTTTGAGATTATCATTGATGTCTCTGAGTGTATATTTGATGTCTTTGAGATTAATGTTGATGTCTCTGAGTGTATCCTTTGAAGCATAAAGATGTCTTAAAGATTAACATTAGTTTAGAAATATTAGGAAGAGAGTTGCCTCTTGACTATTTTCTTACTCCACGAAGAATAATGTTTTTAAGAAAAGTTCTGAAAGAATCCTTTGACTATTTTTTGAACGAATGAAAATTTATTTTTGTTAAGATATAATGCACAGATGTTACACTTGACTATTTTCAGTAGAGTCAAGTGAGAGATTTTAGTTAAGAAAGGTTAAGTAAAGACTGTTTTAGTAAATTTGTTACTGAATGAACCGTATTTTTGTTTAAGAACAGTGTTGGTAAGAAATATTAACTTGATAAAGAGAAATATATTGACGTAGTTTTTACAAATAAATCTCTGTAAATGGATAAATAAATACTTTGTAATAAATAATTTGTAAATAACTAAGCAAATTTATAATTATCTAAATTGTAACTACATAATTTGCGAACTAAATAATTTGCAAACTAAATTATTTGCAAACTAAATAATTTGTAACAAAAAAAAAAGTTGAATTGTAATAAATTTGTAAATACCTAAATAATTTGTAAATAATTTATTTGCATAATGGGGAACCATTATGCTGTTGAAAATGTGATAAAAAAACTAGTTACTGTATGAAGATGTAACTATACATTTGGTTAAAGAAATACAGAGAACATGTAAGAATATGAAAACAGCATGAACTGGACTTGTAAATAAAAGAGAAAATTTATTGAAATTGTGAAGAACCAGAATTGAACTTGCAGAGAAAAAATAGTGTAAAGAACATGTAAGAATATGAAAAAACACAGAAAATATGTGAAGAACTTGAATTGAACTAGCTGAGAACATGTAAGAACATTCTGAGAACATGAATAATATGAAAAGAACACAGAGAACATGCAAAAAACATGAATTGAACTGTCAGGGAACATGACTGGAAGCTGCAAAGAACGTGCTGTGACAATTTGCAGAACATGGAGAGAACATTCAATTATAAAATGGACATTTGGAGAATATTTAAGAACATGTAGAGAACACACAAATATGGAATGAATATGCCAAGAGTATAGAGATGTTGCGTATTTACACCCGAGTATTGACCAAAATCCGGTAAGGTGCTTGGTAATAGCTGTTTTACAAGAAACATGGAATAATGCCTCATGTTACATGAGACATTGTTACAAAGTCTCATGGAACAATGTTTCTTGTAAAAAATAATAGTTTCAGATAATAACTGAATATTATAGAGTTATAAATGTAGAACTGGTAAAATAAGAGATATGAACACAAATTAATATTTTCACAGGGTAAAGTTGAGAAGGGATCTGGGGAGGGGGGAGGTTCGGGTGGAGTTGGGGAAGAGCATGGGGAGCTGGGGTGTGAGAGAGGAGACACACGAGGGGAAAGGCGAGGGTGTGATGATTATGCAAGCAAGTGTTGCATGGGGCATTAGTGGAGGGGGGGAATGGAGGAAGGGAGAGAGATAAGGCATGTTATGACAGGTTATCAATACCTGGAGAGTGTTTATTTACATACATATGTACAAACACACGTGTCTTAAAGGAGGGGCTATGAGTCATATTTACCTAAAATGATAAAGGCACTGGGCTTCTGGAAAGAGTATGCACTTTGATCAGGGATAAAAAAAAATTCAAATTCAAATTGTTTCAAATTCAAATTTTCAAATTTCAAAAAGGATGAAAGGGACTTTGATAAATGCGAGGGTTGAGAGTTAACTCACTTGTTCAGAAATAGCTAAGTTGGTGAACATTGAACTAAGGCGGAGGACATGAGCTAGAGTTCGGTAACTATCTCATTTGTTCTCAGTGAGTCTGAAATATCTATATTTTAATTCTTAAGGAAATTTAACTGCTAATAGCGAAAATACAGGAGTGAACTAAGGTGAGGGATAGGAGCTAAAACTTAGTAACACTTTTCTTTTCTTGCTGAGTCTGAAATACACCTGTTTTTAAATTTTGAAGGGACTGAACTGTTATTAGCAAAATTATAATGAGCGAACTAAGTCGGAGGACAGGAGCCAGAGCTCGGTAACTGCCTTAATCTTATTTACTACATCAGCAATAGGACTGTTTTAAGTTTTAAGGGAATCGGTTAGATAATAGCTGAATTACAGGATTAATCTAAGGCAGAGGGCAAGAGATGGAGCTCAGTAACTAAATTTACTTAGTTTATTACGGGTAAAATACAGCAGTTTTAAATCACGAGGAAATTTATCTGTTAATAGCGAAGTTATAGGAGTGAACAAAGACGGGGGACAAGAGTCAGAACTCGGTAACAAATTTTATCTCATTTACTGCATTCGGTTACAAAACCACTACATTCAGCGGTTTTAAATCTCAGGGAAATGTTGTTAATAACGAAGTTGTAAGAGGCAACTAAGGCAGGGGGGACTGAACAAGAGCTGGAACTCGATAATTCCACTTTTTTCTTACTACGTCTGAAATATGACTGTTTTAAATTTAAGAGAAATTGGAATGTTAATAGAGAAACTATACTTATAAACGAATAGAGGTGGGTCCGAGAACTAGCATCCGTCACTGGGAATTACTTAACAAACTAATTAATAAATTCTCTGAAATTGGACTTACTCTGACATTAACTTTACTCTTAAACTGATGGTACTGTATAGAGTGTATATGTTTTTACATAAGAATTCTTTAACGTTACAGAAACTATTATTTGTTCATATGAGAAATATTTAAATCCACAGCAGAAAATTGGGACTCTGAACATTTGTTACCCAAAAGAGATGACGGGTCAGCAGCCCCATTTTCCAAGATAGGTCCTCTACCCTTTTTAAGTTGACAGCTTAACTGTAAATGGGGCTCAAAGCCACCATTTACTGTCAAGCCGTCATCCCTACTACTCACATAATGCCAGCAAGTGCCCCACACCCCACTTGCTATTTTTTTACATTTTCCGAGAGTGCTAGAACTGATACGAGGAGTAAAGACTAGTGTCAGTGGCCAAATGTCAGCATACACAGCCACTCTGACTACCTGCCATTCAGGTCTTCGAATGTAGGTGTTGGCCCCTCATGTGTGCACCCTCGCTATCCCGCTCACTCACTACCACTTTCCTGCGTTACTTTCTCACTGCCTACTTTCTCATACACCCTGTTGGAAATTTCCAACTCTAATACAATACTATTGTATTATAATAAATCAGTATTATTATATACTAACTACAGTAGTCACTAAAACTTACTAACAGTAATGTTCACATAAACTAACCATTATATCTACATATGGATGCTGGAATTCTTACGAAATCAAGCACCAGTATTGCATCAGATTATATTTAGTTAAACACATTTATTGCCAGTGTGTTAGAGAATTGAATGTGGTTCTCTAAAATCATCAGTATTCCTTGTGATAATTATTTACGGATAACATAACTCCCAAATAATTCTAAATCGAGAGTTTTTAGTTACAATTGTTATCAAGTAATAGTTTTTCTGTCACGCGTGAATGCCATGGAGAAAACTAAAATCTTCTCCATTTCTCGTTTACCACCATAAGACGAGAAAGCAATAATATTTAAATCCCTAGAATCACAACCCAGTCTTTATTAAAGTATTTCAACCACAATTGCGCGAAATAGTATTATTCGTGATAAATAATTTCTGTGGTGAATGCAGGACGCGGGTTGGGGGAGAAGGAGACGCCATTGTGTGTGTGTGGCGGTAGCTCGTGTTGCGGAGTGAGCAGCGAGCACTCGTACTTGGACAGGAAAGTCGTGGCGTCAGAGTCTGAGACACGTGACGTTGGGATTATCAGCAAGAATTACACTGATACTCAGCTTAGAACGAATAATTATTCTTCCATGTGAACCACAGCGCTCGGTCAAATAATAACGCGTCGATAATCAAGCCAAACTCTCAACCACGTGTACCACATTGTGGAAGTTTGAGGCTGAGACGCGATACCGGCAGACTTCAGCATACACTGCACTCACGATAAGTATATAGTTCTTTCTTGATGCATCATTAGAGATTGTATATTTCGTGGGCAGTCTGTCGTTACATAGCAAGACGACAAAAAATCCAACGTTAGTACCGCATTAATCTTTATTTTCTATTTCATAAATATTGAGACTTAAGTAGCCTAGTTTAATGCTACGTAATATCCTTTAAATTACAGCTCGTATGTGAGGAGTCAACGAGCCGTTAACTACATTCGTGTTATTCACCTCTAAGGGCTTCTGTGTGGAGATCTTGAGATCACGAGGACGAAGCACGAACGATGTCATAGAAATCGTCTTAAAGCTAAGACTTTTTGTACACATTTAATTGCTCCAATTTATTATACATATCCATAATATTATCATATTGAATACTTGCCATGTGAACTGGAGATGGATGTGTTTGCTTAGATGATTGCTTTTTAATTCTATCATTAATCTTTTCTATTTGAAGTTACCTATTGATTCTATAATAATTTGGTCACAATGTTCTTTATTCAACAATGAACTGGTGCACGAACCACACTAGTTCCTAGACGTATATGAAGTTCTAGCAATACCCCCCAATGTAGGTGTTTGAGGTTCTGACTTTAGTTAATTAACCATACAGTTCATTATTTATTTAAGTGATTATTCTTTCTAATATTTGTCCATAGACACTGGTTCTTCCTTGTGTTTCTAATGATCACTTTATATTAGTTTCCCTCTTTTCTCAAAAGTGGGTGGTCCTTCGTTATTAAATTAAATAATTAAATAATTAAATAAATTGAGTCAGGCCCCAGATAACACACACACCCCTCACTCTCTCTCAAAGATCTGGTCGACATGATGAGGATGGTTCCTGTGGCCTCAGCGCTCCTGACAGCGATAGTGGTCGTTACTGTGGTTTTCTTCAACCGTCCAGTTGTGCGAGACGACCACAGGAATAGAAAAGACAACTATTCTGCTCTCCAGAAACAAATGGTGAGATTAACTAATTGCACTATGTAATTTTTTTTATCCACTATTAGTGGATAAAAAAGTGGACCATGGTTATCCATGGTTAGTGGACTGCTTATGCCTCCGACTTTGGGGAGCCGGTCGGCCGAGCAGACAGCACGCTGGACTTGTGATCCTGTGGTCCCGGGTTCGATCCCGGGCGCTGGCGAGAAACAATGGGTAGAGTTTCTTTCACCCTATGCCCCTGTTACCTAGCAGTAAAATAGGTACCTGGGTGTTAGTCAGCTGTCACGGGCTGCTTCCTGGGGGTGGAGGCCTGATCGAGGACCGGGCTGCGGGGAAACTAAAGCCCCGAAATCATCTCAAGATAACCTCCGATGCATTTAAAATGACAATTATTCCCCTCAAACTTTGGTCTGACTTTTACTTTAGAGTTTAGGGAAGATGTCATTGACGGGCACTTGAAGGCTGCCGGTTCCTTACTAGAGCTGTGACAAGTACCTTCAAGACGTCTTTCTTAAGCTGTCTGAGGCGGAGGTCAAGGCAAAGTTCGAGGGGATGGGAACTATCAGGGGAAAACCCCAAGTCATTACGTCTATATTGTACATTAAAGGGATCAGAATAAAGGTTTGGGGTGGGACGGAGGGAAGGAATGGTGCCAAACACAATTTTTATGTAGAATTATTGCTCGTGTCATGTTAGGTGGTGGTTATATAATAATGATGGTAGTTAATGAGTGTCATGTTATGGAATCAATCAAGTCTTTGACTGTCCTGTTTGGAAATCAATCATATTTGCACGTGATTCCCATGTTTGTAACTTTAAAACTGCTAAGGAACTGATAGGTCGGCATGCCATTCATATGTTGGTGATTGTCGTCTTATTGAATGATGCCCAGTAGTTTAAAAACATAAGAACATTGCAGTATGCTTGAGAACACTGCAACAGGCTTGAGCACATTGCAATAGGCATGAGAATATTGCAATAGGTCTAAGGACTTATGAGGGACCATATGAATCTAACTTTTAAAACTTTCCTGAATTAAAATGATTTCTTGTTAGTTTTGTCTTCAGTCGATATATCCTCCTAGAAGAATGGGAAGCGACTCATTTGTTTATACAGTATAAGAGAGAGAATGTGTGTGTGTGTATACTCAGCTGGTTGTACTCACCTAGTTGCGCTTGCGGGGGTTGAGCTCTGGCTCTTTGGTCCCGCCTCTCAACTGTCAATCAAGTGATGCACAGGTTTCTGAGCCTATTGGGCTCTATCATATCTACACTTGAAACTGTGTCTGGAGTCAGCCTCCACCACATCACTGCCTAATGCATTCCATCTGTTAACTACCCTGACATTACCACAGACCCAATAGAATCTTTGGTAGTGGACCCAATACCCAACCTACTGCCCGAAGGCTGGGTATTGGGTTCACTACCATCTGTTAGATGGGTATCAAAATCAAATCAAATCAACAAAAAATGGCGGAAATCAGCAGTTTTACAAGTTGGTCAACAAATCAGTATTGTTTGAAAATAGAAAGACATGACAAGTCATTTGGGGGGGGGGGGGTAAGGTAAGTTACATGGAGTTTATTAGGTAGTACCGTTTTTCCTCTTAAACTGATTGAGAGGTACCGCCTTTTCCCATGATTGGGAAGGTCACTCCACATTCTGGGTACCTTGATTTCTAGAGCATTTCTAGTTTTGTTAGGTCGCACTCTTGGAATATCAAATAAGTATTTGTTTCTGGTGTGGTGCCCATGGGTTTTGTTACAACTTTCTAGGAAACATTTAAGGACAGGATTGTATTACAGTTCAGAGTTTTAAATATATAGAGTACATTTGAGAGGATGTGTAGTGACTTAATATCTAACACATTCAAAGACTTAAGTAAAGGTACCGAGTGCTGTCTGGGGTCAGAGCTTGATATTGTTCTAATAGCTTTGTGTTGAGTAATCAGAGGACGTAGATAATTTTGGGTTGTAGAACCCCAAGCACAAATACCATAATTGAGATAAGGATAGATGAGAGAGTAATAGAGCGTCACCAGGCCAGGGCGAGGTACATCATATCTGATCTTTGAAAGAATGTCAACAGTTTCAGAAACTTTTTTTGCTATATTTTGAATGTGGCCCCTAGAAATAAAGCTTGTTATCGATGAGAACACCAAGGAATTTACCATGTACTTTGTTACTAATTTGGATATTGTTTACTCTTAGATTAATTTGATCTGAGGATTTATTACCAAATAAAATATAATAGATTTTGTTAATGTTAAGGATGAGCTTGTTAGCAGTTAGCCAAAGATGGACTTTATTTAGTTCAGAATTCACTGTATCATTCAAAGAGGGTTAGGACTGGAGAAAATGAGGGTGTGTCATCAGCAAATAAAATTGCGTTGACGTGTTGAGAGGCATTTGGAAGGTCATTAATGTAGATGAGAAAAAGGAGAGGGCCAAGTATGCTGCCCTGTAGAACACCCAATGTTGATGGATAGGATGGGAATAATGGAATTATTCATAGAAACATACTGGAGTCTGTCACTAAGATAAGACTGAAGATTTTGGAGGGGGTGACCTCTGACTCCATAATAATGTAATTTAAGAAGAAGGTTTTGGTGGTTGACAGTGTCAAAAGCCTTACGTAGGTAAATAAATAACCCAACAGGGAACTCATTTTTATCAAGAGCTGCATGTATCAAGTTAATCATACTAATCAGTGCATCGTTAGTGCTTTTTTGGGTCTGAAGTCATATTGGCAAGAGCTAAATATATTGTGTTTGGCTAGATAAGAGTAAAGTTACATGTATATTAGCTTTTCAGATATTTTTGACAAGGTTGGCAGAATTGACATAGGTCTGAAATTGTTGAGACCAGTGAGATCACCACATTTATGGACTGGGGTTACTCTCGCTTTTTTTTTAGAATATCCAGAAAGATATGAAGTTAAAGTGATTTGTTGTAAAGCAATGCAATGGCAGAAGCAAGAAATCTGGATTTTATTTTTTTTTAGTAAATTAGAGCTGGTATCTCAGCAAGGGCACTTGACTTTGTTTTAAGAAAAAGGATTATCTCATTAACATCAGAAGAATTAGCGGGAGTTAAGGTACAGAAACTATGGATAGTTTCCTGTAAGGTAGTACATTAACACTAGTTAGAGAGGATGGAATATCATTACCAAGCGATGTGCCAATGGATGAGAACAAACCATTGAATTCAATATCAGAGTCAGAGGCTTAAAGCACATCATCGACATTAAATAGTAGTATTGGTTTTTTATTCAAAATCTATTTTTATCCTAATATTTGGGAAATAGTGCTCTAATATGTAGTATGGGGTAATGGGGTCCACTACCTCCTATTGGATGGGTATGGGGCCCACTACTGCCCACAGAATGAGTATCTGGTCCACTACCGCCCACAGGATGGGTATGGAGTTCATTACTATCAAACAGTATTAGTATGGGGTCCATTACAGCCCACAGGATGGGTATATGGTCCATTACAACCCACGGAAAGAGTATGGGGTCCACCTCCACCTCACAGGATGGGTATGTGGTCCATTACCATCTACAGGATGAGTATGGGGATCCAATACCACGAGTAGGATGAGTATGGGGTCCACTACTACTTACAGGATTGGTAGGGGGTCCACTACCATCTAGAGGATGGGTATATGGTCCACTACCATACACAGGATGGTTATGGGGTTCACTACTACCCACTGGATTGGTAAGGGCTCACTAACACCCACTGGATGGGTATGGGGTTCACTACCACACTAGATGGGAATGACGTCCACTACCACTCACAGGATGGATATGGGGTCCAGTATCTCCTATGGGATGGGTATGGCGTCCACTACCACCCACTGGATGGGAATGGGGTCCACTATCTCCCATTGGATGGGTGTATGGTCTATTACCGCCTTGAGGATTGTTATGGGATTCCCTACCGCCCACAGGATGAGTATGGGGGACCACTACAGCTCACGGGTTGGGGTATAGGGTCAACTACAGCTCACAGGTTGGGGTATGGGGTCAACTACAGCTCAAAGGTTGGGGTATGGGGTCAACTACAGCTCATGGGTTGGGGTATGGGGTCAACTACAGCTCATGGGTTGGGGTATGGGGTCAACTACAGCTCATGGGTTGGGGTATGGGGTCAACTACAGCTCATGGGTTGGGGTATGGGGTCAACTACAGCTCATGGGTTGGGGTATGGGGGTCAACTATATCTAAAGGATGGATATAAGTTCCACTACTTCCCACGAGATGGAATCCACATGAAATGCATGGCGTCCACTACCACCCACAGGATGGGTATGGGGTCCACTACCATCCACAGGATGGTTATAGAGTTCACTACCACCCCCTGGATGGTAATACCTTGTTTATACCTTGTTGATGGGGTTCTGGGAGTTCTTCTACTCCCCAAGCCCGGCCCTAGGCCAGGCTTGACTTGTGAGAGTTTGGTCCACCAGGCTGTTGCTTGGAGCGGCCCACAGGCCCACATACCCACCACACCTCGGTTGGTCCGGCACTCCTTGGAGGAAACTATCAAGTTTCCTCTTGAAGATGTCCACGGTTTTTCCGGCAATATTTCTTATGCTCGCTATGAGGCTCACTAACACCCACTAGATTGGTATGGGGGCTCCCTACCACCCACTGGATGGGTATTGGGCTCACTACCACCCATTGGATGGGTATGGGGCTCACTACCACCCACAGGATGCGTAAATATGGTTCACAACCGCCCACAGATTGGGTATGGATTCCACTTCCGCCCTCAGGATTGGTATGTGGATCTCATACCAATCCTCTGGGAGGTAGTGGACCCCAAACCCATCCAGTAGGTGGTAGTGGACCCTTTTCCAATCCAGTGGGTGGTAGTGAACCCTCATAACCATCCAGTGGATGGTAGAGGACCCCATATACTCATCCTCTAAATGGAAGTGGCCCCCATACCCATCCTGTAAGCAGTAGTGGACCCCATACCCATCCTATTCGTGGTATTGGGTCCCCATACTC